CTCCTCTCCTTCTTTCCCAACAACAGCATTTGCTTTTCTTGCTCCTGCCTCTCCTCCTCCAACTTGTTTACATTTTCACCGCTGCTGGGTCCAGACTTGTGTTGCAGAGAGCTTGCCTGTGGTATCAGCCACGGTAGTTCATCCGTAAAGGAATAGGGACATCGTACTTGTCCAGATGGGTGTTTCTGTGCTACAGTGCCAGAAAATCCGCCTTGCTTCTGCTGCTGCCGCTGTGGCTGTCAGCAGGGTTGCCATCAGTCAAGCGTGGAGATGCCTGCCTTTCCGCACCGTCGCTGGTGTCCCAGCGGGGCTGGCAGCGCGCTGTGTCACGTCCGGCTTTGCTGGTGCCTGGCCGCCTCTGTCCTGTGCTGTCGCCTCTGTCGTTCCTGGCATCTCCCGAGCTTTGTGTGGCTCCGTTCCTGCGGCGCCTGCGCGGGGACGCTTCTCCCAAGGGTCCTACACTTGGGCTGGGACGTGTGTTGAGGATCTCCCCTGATGTGTGTTAACTTTCTCTACCAGCCTTGGGCCCTTGGGTGCTGTAGTTTGGGATGACTGTTGCCCTAATTCTCCGCTCCCTTGGGCTGTGACTCTCTGGACCAGTTGTTGCCTTGTTTGGGCCATTTCTCCAATTTCTGCAGCGGGGCTTGCCTTGGCTTGCTGCAGGGGACAGCCACAATCTCACTCCAGAGTCCTGAGTCCTCTGTCGGATTTTTTGGGGCGGTTTTTGCCTGGCAGAAAAATGCCTCTGCAGGCTCCAGTGCTGGAAAGACCCTTTCTAAAGCAGGGAAGGAGCTGTTGAGGAGAGGGGTACAGCCCTGCTTCGTATCGTTCCTGGGCACCTGCCTTAGTTTAGGAGGCACCTCCTCTCTCTGCTTCCCTCATTAGCAGGAGTCAAGACCGGGCACGAATGCGAGCCGGAGGGAGCAGCTGGAGCTGGAGCAGTATCGGGTTCTCCCTTTGCTGTGGTTAGTGGCAGCTCTTACTCTGCGAGCTCCCTATTTTTAACATTGCCCCGGGGCAGCCCCGGCTCTGGTAGCTGCCGCCCCGTTGTTTTGGTGGATATGTGACTCTCGGGGAGGCTTTATGACCACGGGAGATGGAGTAGATGTTGGATTTGACCGTCTGGGCCTGACCCACGTGATGGATGAAAGCAATACTGTGCAAGAGTCCCGGGTGGAGCGTGCTCTGCGGTAAGCGCTCAAATATGTGGAAGTGTTTATAGAGAGCTGGTGGGGTGGGTGCAGCCGCAGAGCGAACATCCTTCGGCTCCCCGACGCTGGGACTCGGGGACGGGCAATCCCAGCTTGCCACGGGGATGGCTGCGCTGGGCTCGCGGATGGAGGTGCAGGGTGCCCGGCCGGCTGCTCGTACTTCACATTCTCCTCTTGCCTTTCTGTGGAATTTCATAATGTCCTTTCTCTTTTTTCCCCTGCCTTAAACAAACAACAGGCCTTTGAGTTGCCCGGCTTATGTAGCTTCGTTATCTTCTAAATCTTGTTGCATCTACTTTTAAGACAGCTTCCTCAATGTCGTGTCCGTCCCCCCCCCAGCCCCCTGAGCCTCAACCTCAAATTCAGATCCCAGCACAGCGGGGCCAGCGTGGTTCTTTTCTGATTAACTTCTTGCAGGCTGTCTCCTCTGTACCCATTTCAAACAAAGCAGTTTCAGTAACTACTTACTGGCTGAACTGGGAAAGCATTCCCATGAATACCTGTGTGTACGACTGGGAGCTTCCCTTCTGCCCAGGGCTGTAACAACGATGAGTACTGATAGAAAAAAAAAAATCTCTTTTTTTTAGCTTTGCCTATTCTTGTTTTATCTCTGCATGAACAATATTTAATATAGAACAACATATGTATCTCAGTTATTGTCCAGCTGTGTGGAACTGGATAAAATTGCTAAGTTTTATGCTTCTTGCTGATTTCAGGCTGATTTTTGAAAGGCAGCTCAAGTCCTCCAGCATCCTCTATGGGTTAACTTGGGGTTTACCTTTTTTTTCAGCTTGGTCGGATATTATCTTTCTCCTTTTAAAATACACAACTAGATAACAATTAGATACGCTTCCTTTTGATGAGGGCCTAGTTCTTCATAGGAGTTTTACAAGTGCTAATCTTGGTTAAGAAGATGAACAGCTGTGATAGGAATTCATGAAGACCATTAACATGAAGACCATTAAAGTTTGTCTTACATTAATAATACTAGCATAGTGGCCAAAATTACTTTTAAGAGCTAATTAATTAAGATGAAAACCTCTATATACTTTTCTCTGATTTCTATGATATTTGACAATCCAAATCAATTGTAAATGTTCTGCAGCACTGCAATTCTGACTTTTTAGGAGAGAATGTACATAAAGTTTTATAAAGTAAATACAGAACCAATGGGTGTGTAATGGCATTTTAGAATCATAGACTGCTTTTGGGTTGGAAGGGACCTTGAGAGATCATCGAGCCCAACCCCCCCTGCAGTAAGCAGGGATGGAACCTGTGAACTTGGCGTTATTAGCACCATGTTCTAACCAACTGAGCTAACCCGGCTGGTCATTTTGAGCTAAGATGGTGCCCGAGAGGCTGTTTAACAGGTGAAAATATCAAAAGATGGACATAGCAATGACTGTATAGTGACTAGATTTCAAGTTTTGGACTTCAAAAACATCTAGACAAAGCCCTCAATTTTTGGCTCAGAATATAATTATTTGCATTTTTTTAAATTTAAGATATCAACTAGGAAGAGCTGGAATTTTCTGGCAAGAATGGCAGCTTCCCGTGTAGTTGATCGCGGCAGAAAAATTCAGCTAAGAAATGCAAAGCACAAAATGAACTAATATTGTTTATCTTGTTATTGTGGCACTCTGATTCATCAGAAGCCATCATCTGCTTTCACTGCGAAGAGAATGAAACAGCAGGTACGCATACAGAAAGTATTTTAACAGGCTGAGAGCACGACATAAATCTAAAACGGAGCATTGGAAATAAGGGCCAGATGTTAATGGAAACACTTGACTGCCGCAGTTTGCTGAGCAAAGAGCGGATTGCTGGAGAGGCTCAGTACTGAAGGGGTGATGAGGATATGGGCTCAGCGCTTGCTTTATCTATGAAAGCCTGCCCCGGGTTTCCTCCCGTAGTGTGGCTTTGTGCTGAGCTCCAGCAGGCTGCCAGCCGTGTCCTCCTGCTTGGCCGAATGTCCTCTGCTCCGATGGCAGCTCCAGGTGCTGGCCTGGGGACATCAAGCTCTCTACAGCTGCTGAGCCCTGTGGACACTAGCGGCACGGGTCTGATCACACCAGTCTGCCAGAAAAAGGTTGGGAACCGTAATTTTGAGAGCACAAGGCCCTGCTTTTGGGAGTGAGCGGGAAAAGCTGCAGCCTATGAGAAATTTCCCGGGTTAAAGCTCGCTGTGAGCGAGCGTAGCCTGCCTGTTGCACATTATCTGGCTGCGTTTGCAGTGACGGGTTTCCGTCAGAGAGGGCACGCTGTGACTGCCGAAACTGCTGCTGGAGCACGTAGGTGACGCTCGCCAGCCGGTCTGGATGGAGGTTTGGCGTTTAGGACTGCCCGTGGGAGCCCTGCTCGTGGGTCCCTGTTGGAAATATCGCACAGATGTCCACAACTGTTTAAATACTGGGCTCAACTGAAACTGGTTCGTTGCAGCCACAAAGCACTGTAATTGTATCTGTTAGCTTAAACGGATAAAAAATACCCTGATTCACCCAAATGATTTCTAGTAACTGTTTTGTTGGGTGAAGAGCTCCCTGCCCTGCAGTGCCTGAAGCGGAGGGCAGTGTCTATGGCATGAGTGCATTACTGTACAGTAAAACCCGTGCATTGTGCCAAGGAGGTACTTCTAGGGCAGAATATGGCTGTGCAGGGACACTGAGATCCC